AGCGTGCTGTGTTGTCAGAGTTTAAGTGCTGTTGCTGTCCAGTGATTCTTCAGAAGCATCAGCAGGGAGGCTCTGTGTCAGAGCACAGTGATTTTTATATTCATCCCACTAATGTCTGCTCTAGAAGGAAGTCAGTTACATCTGATCCCTCTGAAATACTAACCCAGGAATTTCAGCCTTTTCTACAGTACAGCACATCTGCTTGTGTATAGCTGTTAAATCCCTGTTCTGGAGCTGTTACGACTGAGCAGTTGTATCAGTTTCACAGCGTAGGAGCCCCAGGATCCTTGTAACCCTGATACACAGGTGCCGTTCAAACGTTTTAAAGCCGCCTGAGTAAGAAATCACATTCTGGCATTTAATATTCACCTGGGGGTGCAATGTACAAGTGATGATTAGTTGCTATATATGCAAGGCTTACAGTTTTAGAAATGCATTAATGTTCAGTAACAACATAAAGAAGTCTTCCAAAACATGGGTGTAAAGACTCAGAGATGCCAGATTTATGAATGACTGGAGGTCCAAAATCCCAAATTATGTCTTTTTTCACTAAGACAAATTACACTGTGTTCAAAAGACAGACTTTAATAAGTTAAATTAATCTTAATGAGAATTAATTTAGAATTCTCATAAAAGCTGTATGCAGGGCATTTAGTATTAACTTTATACAGACATGAACAGATTTCAGTTTCTGGAGAGAGTGTGCAAGGTGAGGATTGTAGGTGCTGACAAAATGGACCTGTTAGTTCCTCCATAATCTTACAAGACGACGTGGCGCTGGTATTATTTATTCAATCTTCTTTAGCTTTATTTTTATCTGTGGAGGGGATCTTCGACTTAGCATTATGAGCTTAGCGTGATTAAGTGCGCAAAATGACAAACAAGGTTGTCTCGTGCTCATCGTCTTCTTTCTTTAGTCAAATAATCACCTTTAGGAGGCTGAATCCCTTTTAGCTAGCCTGTCAGTCACCAATACCCAGATCCCCAATAAGCCGCATTTGTCAAATTAAACACTCGGTCTGTATGGGGGCATCAGCTGGAGGCGAGGTCTGAGAAGCTAGATGAAAGTTTCATTCGGGATTTAAAGAGGACGATTTTATTATCTGGAGATTTGCAGTCGCTTTTCGGAGTTAATCCCAAGATCTTGCCCCACGAATATGTTCACAAGCCCATTCTCTGCAAGTACTTACTTCAAGTTAGGTGGCGCTGCTACAGTCCCTTGAGCGCAAAGCCAGCTCTGTGCTTTCCTGATGAGCGTCGGGCTATGAGGCTGGAAGACTGCCGATCAGCAGACAAGAGGGCAGCACAGGGCTACAGGAAGGGGCTCCATCACCCCCACTGCCTGCCTACACTGTGCTCCCCTCATTAAACAGGAGCAGACACTCCCCCTTTATATCCTAATAGGAAAACCACTCCACAGGAATCTTTTAACGACTGCTTCTCATCAGCTAATCTGTTACAAAAAAAGAGCTGCAGATGAATCTAAGATTTTCGATAGATTATATTGAACTAAAAATGTATTAAAATCTGCCAGGTTTTCAGAAGAGCGCATGTGTCTTCATGAGTGTTGGGCCCTGTGTTAGTTATGACCACCCTCTGTGCGCTAGACGTGTGACCGGTGTCTGACAGCCCAGTCCGCGTCCTCCTATCTTAATCTGACATTTTTGAAACACAACAGTAGCAAAGTTCTTTCCCCCTTTTCTGTTCATTTCCTTAATTCAATTATAATGTAATTATTTGTGTTTCATCTAAAGGGCCACTTAAACTACCTCGTGATTGTCCTTTGTCAGTATTCATGTGAAGTCTGAACACTTCTGTGTGAGTCAAGTCAGAGCAGATCTCCAGCAGTAAAAATAAATCAAACTTCATTCCTCCAGCAGAGGGCATTAGCACTCCAGTTCCTCCTCGGTGTAAGTAACTGGTCATAGGAACAAGTTAAAGGGTTTATTCCCTGCAGAAAAGAGAAGAAAAGAAACACAACGTTTTGGCTGTGGAGCCTTGTTCAGGTGTGAGAGAGAGAAGAAAATCGGTCATGTATGTGTAGGCGTACAGGGGCATAGCTATACACTTGTATACATCTCACCTGCAGTGTCACACCTTAAGAAGGCTTCTTCTCTTCAGCAGGGAATAAACCTTTACTTGTTCCTTTGCAGCCTACGCCTGCTGTTGCAGCTCCCTGCTTGAGTCCCTGGCCATGTCAAGAAGAGAGCTTATGAAATCCACAGGTTATCAGAGCACACAGCTGCTGCTGCCTACGTATTGCTGTTCTCTCTTAAAACCTCGTCCCATTGGCATCACGGTCTAAGAGTGTGCTGCCCTCAAGTGTTGTGGTTGCCATTCTATGTAGGTGAGGATCAAATGATTAATACATAAAGAAACACCAGCAACCATTGCTTTGACTGCTACTGATAATCCATATTGATTGTAACAAACAATCTAGATCATTGTTAAGTCCTTCAGAGATATGTGGGTAAACCAATGGCGCTGGAGAAATTAATGTAGCAGAACCACTCTAGAGTTGCACACTTTTGTTATCGTAGGGCTGTGAAACTGAAACAGGGAGCAAGTGCAGATACCTGCTTGGCTGCTTGTGTGAGACTGGTCAAACAGCAATGAAATACTGACTATAGGAGATATCCTAACACTAACTGGGAGCAGGGATTTTTCTGCATGGTGTTCTTTTCTGTTGGTGTCTGCTATTGGGAAAACCCCGATTCCAGCTAAAGAACGACCCAGGTAGACTGGAAATCAGCGTCTGCCCCAGGTCTGCCAGATGCAAGGAGCATGCCGTGCAGTGTGTCAGATTAGCGCATTTACAATAGCAATAACTTTTTGGCAATAATGCAGATGCAGTGCTCCTGACATGTGACAGCTGTGGTGTGTGCTTGAGTTGAATAAAATAAAATGGGGCTTGTAAAGCTCTGTTCTGATTGCACCTAGAAAGCATTGCTTTTTACTGCATTGGCTACATCCCAGGTCTCAGCCATTCTGTTTCTTCCAAGGTATAATGGACCTGCGTGTGTTTACAAACAGTTCACAACCGAAAATCACCTCATTATAGCACAGCCCCTGTAACAAGCCTCTCTTGTTTTTCTTCTGAATCAGGCTGGCTTTAAAATAACTCCCTATTGCCATACCATCAATTTGAACTCTCTGTCATCACGGTGGGTTTTAAAATATCTGAAAATGTAATTTAGTAGGTCTGACTCTGGGGGTTCGTCATACCACAGCAGCTGGGTGAGTAGAAGCTGGGGGTCCAGCAGGAATGGTTTTCCTTTGTCTAGCTGTGGTGCTTGCGTTGCCGAGTAGCGCATGAAGAGGACTAGGTGGCAGAAACGAAGTGTGGATCAGAAGGGGAGACAGTGTGAGGAGGACAGTGGGGCTGGGAGGAGGTGTTTTCGGGGGTCAGCTGTCTGTCTAGCCCAAGCCATTACCCCGCAGGCACAGCATGCAGAGCCAGCCTGTAGGCCAGCGGATCTCAGCGCATGTGGATCAAATCAGAATTATCCACTAATTGACTCTTTACTAGGCTCCACAACGCCGTAATGGACTTGATATTAAATCCCCAAGTATTTAAAGCACGTTTTTTTTTTTTTTGTGAGTGCTTCTTGGAGAGGTGGGCTTTGCTGCTAAGATCGCTTTTTACAAGACTTGATGAATTAAGTGCATCGGTCAGAGAGCGCCCAGCCAAGGCTGCCCTGAGTCAGGGATTTAGGGGGCTGCCGCAGGAAAGAGTGTGAAGTGGGCAGCACTGAGCTGTGAGAGGCAGAGAGAGATCCGTAACAATGAATTCCAGATGGCACAGTCAGGCTCCAAAGAGATAGATACAGCGCCTGAAGTGTACCGCAGAGGGTTTAAACCTGGCTGGGCTTTAATGGAGATAGACTGCTTTTTATGTGGAAACTTGAATAGCATAAATTTTAAATGCCAGTTCTGTCCTTTTTGGGGGGGGGTTTAAGCTTCAGCTAAAAAATGTCAATTAAATTACGATGAGAATGAACTTTTGTTCCTTTTTATGCAAAGCCCCCCCCCCCCTCCCTCCAAAAAGGAACGAAAATGCTTTTAACGTTCTGGTGTTGCAGAGATCTGCTGCTGCCAAGATTCAGCTGAGGTTTTTTTTATTTCAGAAAACTGCCAAAAACTTCTTTCAGCAAACCTCTTGCAGCATTCATTCCTGTTCGGCTTATTGATATGATGATTTAGAACTGTGAAGGGTGGTCTTCACAATGATCAGTGTGCAGTTTTTATTTCCCAATATTTATAAAAACTTTATGAGTGAATGTCCTAAACAGACTGACTATATCTCCCCCAGTGATGAACCTCTTCACTTCATGCTTGCACCAGTGACACTCTTGGGATAGTCTTGGTCTTCAGTGCTGGAGAATGGCCCACAGCATGGCAGATTAATTGGTTTGGTCATTTCCTGACAGTTTTTAGGGAAGCACAAGCCCAAGTGATTTTGGCAAAACATATCACCAATGTTTGTGCAAACATTAGCTGAATACAAATACAGTTGGAGGTCCGCTGAGCAGATGTTCCTTTGTCATTTCTATTTAACATTAAAACTACAAAACGTCCTAAAACTGTTTCGTGGCCCTTTTGTTTTTTGTACACCCACCGGTCAAAATCCTGGGAGCCCCCATTCAAGAGAACAGAATTCCCCACTGCCTGACCATGTGTGTTTGGCCTGAGGAGCCCAACACCTGGAACAGTCCTCCAGATCCCGTCATGTGGAGAGCCAGCGGAGCTGGTGGAACATCTCCTACTGACGTTCCCGGGCCTTGCCGATTCCATGCCCCATCCCGGTCGACCTGCTTCCAGCTCCTCGCAGGGCCCCGCACGTTAGGGGTTGGGAATTTTAAACGTCCTGGCTGGCAAGTGAAAGATGTGGGAATGTCATGCATCTCCTCCGAGCGGGATTTTCCTGACCAGTGTGTCTCTGCATCCTATCAACAGGATGGATTTTTTTTATTATTTTTTTTTTCTGTTTGTTCCTGCAGATTTGGTTGATCCCATCCTCCGTGCGGTTCTGCTCCCAGATTCCGATCTGAGAGGCGGCACAGGACATCCTGTACAGACAAACCCCTTCCCCGCCATGCGTCCCCCCTGCCTCTGAACAGACAGTGCCTCCTCAGCTCTCCGGAGTGGCACAGACATACTCCTGCTGGTTCGTAGGGAAAGGAGCTCTCTTTTTGTTTTATTTTGTGTGTAGCACAAGCCAAAACTGTCTAGATGGTGAACACAGTTGGCTGTTTTTGTATCTGAGCACTAGATTCTAGAGAACAGAGAAGGGCTGGTTGTGTTTTTAAAAGCGTATCAGCAGACAAGACTGACAAATAGAAAGTGTTGATGAAGGAAGCTACATGTTTTTAACCTCCTTTCATTGTTTTGTAAAGGTAAAGTCTAAGTATAGATCCATACATGCATGAACCACACTACAGATTTACTCTGTTCTAAAACTCCAGAAAATACTTAAACATCTGTTGGAAGCTCAATTGCACTCTGACTGTAATTAAACTATAATTACAGATATTCCATTCCATTAAACCTGGCGGTGATGGTAGGGCTTTAAATAAACGTTTCATCATCACTTTTATAGTTTTGCAGTTTTTCCTCATACAACTCAGACTAGCACAGGCTTTGCGTACATGTTGCCTAGAACTTTGCCAGTACTTGGAATAAATAGTCAATAGTTCTTTTCTTCTGTTTTGATTTGGTTTTGTTATGAATTCAGTTATTTTAATCAGTAACACAGGCCTTTGGCACATGTTGCTTTTATCTTCACAATGTTGCATGTCTGCGTTCAGCTGTGTCGAGGAAAATGGTCTGGGCAGCGAGCCTCTGTCAGGGAGAGCACGTGTGGAGCTTGGGATACAGTCATGCGCCGTGTGGTTTCCTCTGCCATCCAACAGCTTTTCAGATAAGCAGATAACTAGTCATTGGACTTTATTAAAGCAGCTTGAAAATATCAAGGGCTGACAGAACGAATGTAACAGAAACAGACAGGACTTCCAGCTTTGAAGGTTTGGAAGTGAGAGAAAATGACCTCTGCTTGTTTCGTGTCTGCCTTTTCTCTCTGTAATTTACGCTGGCACTGTTGTGAGAGCTCAGAAGAGGCAGTTTTACCGTCTCGAACCCCAGCCCTAACTGGACCGATGGATTAAATAAACGCTGGTGCCTGCCCGCTCACCTGCCTGTCAGACACGACGCCAGTGTACTGCCGACACCTTACTGCAAAGGCATGTGCGTTTAAAGCCGCGGTCGGCTGGGGTCTCTCTTTCTTTAGGTCTCTTCGCGAAAGGACCCTTTCAGAGAGAACGCTGGGTTAAACATGTCCATTTTCAGCGAAGAGCCTGCAGTTGTTCAGCACTGGCAGTGTGCCGCTGCCACTGGAAATTACAGGCTGTGTAACTCCCTTTCACAGCCCCAAGAGGAGGAGAAGGAGCTGATGAGATCCAGGGCAAACCCATCATAATAACTCACTAAGTTATGAGCCGGATGGCTGAGAAGAAACAGAAGAGAGGCTGGTATTTTAAAACTTTCAAACCATTGACCCAGAGGAACGTGTTCAGAGAGGTTTTGCTCGCCTGTAGACCTTTGCCGAAATCCTAAAAACTCCAGTCCTGCACGTGGCGCAGCGCCTCCATCTCTGGCCTGCCCCAGCGGCAGACCCGGGTCCCTCTTCCCCTTACGGTCAGCTCCTGCTGCGTTCCTCTTGCTCCTGACACCTGATGAGCCCGTAGGGGTCAGAGACGGAGAAGCAAAAGGCAAATAACAAGGAAGAAGAGTTAAGGAAGAAATAATCGCGGGACGTGGAGAATCACCACAATCCCTTGAGTGTTTCTTAAAGTTAAAAAAAAAAGTAAAACCGCATATATGATGCAACTTGACTCTTTAAACAGCACCCAGTAATGCCGTCTGTCCCGAGTAGCACCCAAGGGGACAGGCTTGGCGATATGCGGACTCTGGAATCTCAGCTCAGGCCAGGCTTAGCCTGAGCGACTCTGCGGGCCCAGTCTCTGTTCTTCACATGGAACTTGTTAAAGTGAAAAGCTCTTCGAGCAGGTGGAGCTGAGGGTTAAAGGTTTCTGCCTGCGATAAGTAATGAAGGGACGGGTGAAGAAGAAATGCAGAGCAGGCAGCATTCTTGCAGCGCGGGGGCCGGAGCCCAGGCTGTTCCAGCAGGGAGACGCTGTGCAGGCTCCTCTCTGAGGCCGCTGCAGCCCTGCCTCCTCACACTCTGGCCCTCCCCAGAGAGCAGCGGCGGGAGCCGGTCGTTGTCAGGCAGCCCTGTTGTCAGGGCCCGGGACTCCGTGTCAGCCGAAGTGACAGCATCCCGTCTTGAAACATCTGCTTGAAACATCTGTCTGCAGCTGGATGATGAGGTCATTCTGTCGGGTCCTGTCACTTAGTGTGACAGTATTCTGGATTAGCCCTCAAAGGGATTTAGCATAGTACTCACTGTCAAACCAGGCCTTGGTTTTTGTTAACGCTTGTTTCCGCATGTTATTTTTTCCATGATCCTTTTTTGGGTTATAGAGCCACTGTCCGTCCATCACCAGCAAACTCAAGGCAGGGCAGGACTAGAGACACCAAAAAACCTAGATCGGCATGTCTTTTTAAAAAGGGAGGAACACCTGGGAGCATCTGGAGAAGGCCCTCTCTCAGTGCCACCATGGGGGAACATGTAAACTCCAGCAGCAGCACAAACCAACACAACACAACCTCTTCCTAGTTATTTGATCAGGTGTGATTTCTAGTATGTATGCACCTCATGAGATGCACCCCAATCTGATATTGGTCATTCTGATGTGAGTTGAAGGACTGGAATTCCTACCTAAGGAAACAAATATGAATTTCCATTGCACCTTCCTCTGTTTTTAGGTACGTTCCCACACCTGTGCGTCCTGAACGATGGGAAGGATATGTTTCCCAGCAGTGGGATGGACAGCATGTTCTGTGTTGTGAAATGAAAAGGAACAAGTGTGATGCTGCAAGTCAAAAATGGATTGCAAAACAGACAGCATAAAAATACGATTTATTCATCGGATGTGCAAAAAGGAATGTAACATTCAAAGACAAAGATCGTACACATGTTTATACAAAAAATAAGGGAAAGATGTTTTCTGACCACAAAGCTTTTTTTTATATAAATAAATCAAACCGTTTTGTGTTAAAGAAGTTAAAGAGCAGAACAGCCAGAAACTGTTGTCTGCTGGTCCTGTTCTGTAAATTGCAGCAGTCTGACATGTGGCTTCCTGCTGAGCTTGGGGGTGGTTTTAAAAAATAAAAGAGATTTTCAAACCCCTGTCCTGTGGGAGCTGAGTTCCGGATTAAAGCAGAGTTCTGTGTTCCGTTCTCAATTTTAATGGTACCATTTAAGCTCTCATCTGGTTGGAAGTGTCATTACTGATGTCACCCTGCACTAAAAATGTCTTTAACCTACAGCGATGGGAGCTGTCCAAACCCAGCTAATTAAACCTTATACCAGCAGCGAGATACCAGACTGGTGATGGCTTATCCACCCTGTGGACCATCAAACGAGCACAAAGGAGGAGGGAGAGGGGGCAAGAGATTGAGGCTGACATGTCCCGGGGTCCGCCTCAGTGCAGGGCACTCTACAACTTATCTCATGCTAGTAAAACGACAGATCTTTTCCTCCTCCATTACTTGGTTAAAAATGTGGGAAAGCTTATAAACAAAGGAAGGCCATTTTCCCCATCTAACTCGCTTAACAGCTAGTAGCTAACTGATCTTAGAATCTCACCCGAGTGCTTCTGGAGAGAAGACGTCAACAACATCGTCGATTAGCTTGTTTCAGATCTAAACAGCCCTTGATGCAAACAACTGACTCCTGTTTTCGGTCTTAAAATTGTGTTTTAAAAGTCATTTTAATGTATTTAAATAGCGATGCTATTGCTTTTATACTGTATTTGTGTCTGTTTTTGATTCGTGTAAAGCAGAAACCAGGTTAGTATCCCTGGTTTCCTGATTTACTGGACAGTATTAGAGTTGACTGCACCTGCAGAGGCAAATCCTCAACACTCATGACTGTACGCACTGTCACTAGTTACTTGATGTAGTAAATGCTTATCAGGGCTTTGGTATATTTTCCGACTATAGAGAAGAATAAAACAACAAGAAAGCATAGTGAATTCAAGGTATAGTAAGTAAATATAAATTGGAGGAAGAAAATCATGGAAGAAGTATAAAATTACCTTGCAGTTCATACTTGGAAAAATTTCTATGGGCGTCTTACTATTGATCTGACTCCCTTGCCCATGTTTCTCAAAGTGGTTTGTGGACCAGGCCAGTGCTTGTGTGCTGGGCAGCATGTGAAGAAGGGGGTTCTATCGAAGTGCACGTACAGAGAACTGCCCCAGTGCACAACCCGCAGCTCTGTTTCAGATTGCTGCAGTGTCTGACATTCCTGAGTACGCTCTGCACTGCTTGGCCGGAAGTACATCTGTAGGATCATGCCTCAAAGACCAGGAATGTTTTGGAGAAACCTAGAGAAGGCTCTCAGGCCACTGTGATGAGAGTAGTGGAAGTGTTCTTGAATGCCTCTTGTACTTGACAAAAAAAAAGAAATTGCGCAAGAATCCAAACGACCACTTTTGCATGGGCTCTTGTTTTTTGAATGAATGATTTTGAATTAATGTGCATTATTTTCCTGACACGTTAACATCCTACAGCAGTACAACAGACCTGCAGCCATGACTGTCTTATTCCTTAATCTGCAATATGTTTCATCTCTGCTCTCCATCTGCAGAACCAGGAGCAGCTTGTAGTAAAGTTTCTGGAGTATTGCAACCTTGTTGTGAAAGGCGCTATATAAAAATAAATTGAATTGAATTTATTTTGCTAATTGTTAAGTTTCAATAAATGTGTTTTAAGAGCTCTATTAATGCTGCCAGGTTGCTTCCTGTGGTGCACCATGACTGTATAATAATACAATAGCAACTCCAATGTGCACAGCCACCCTGTCTCAAACTCCAGCTCTGCCTGGCACTGTGCAGCAGAGGTCAGGAGCAGAGACCAGCCACAAATACACCAGCAACAAAGGAAAAAAAACCTAGTCTTACAGCCGAGAGATCTGACAATGTTTCCTTTTTCTTCTCTTGTGAATCTCATCACAGTTTGTTTGTTCTCTTGGCTCCAGCACAGTCAGGTGAGCAGAAAACACAGGCGGGTCGTGACTCTGTCCTGCACTGTTTCGAAACTCTTTCCCTGCTGCAGAGCCGAGTGAATGGACTGGTCCTACGCAGGGAAGAGAGGCGCTGAAGGCAGAGAAGGAGAACGGAGCCCTGGAGCCTTCTGGACTGGCGGGCGGACTGAGAGGGGGCGGCCCCCACTAGCTGTCGGTCCAGTGAGCCCCAGCGCCGCTCAGCCCCAGGTGATACTGGTAGGAGGGGTCGCGGATCGGAGGAGGGGTGAATGCTGGGAAGTCCCTGGCTGGCAGCGGGGGTGAGCCGGGCTTTCTCTGATACAGGGAGGCGGGGGGCCTGTCCCGCGAGCTCGGGGCGGGGGGCGAGGAGGAGGAAGAGGAGGACGAGTGTGGGCCCCTGTGCGCGGGAGGGCTGCTGTAGGCGCCCAGGTCGGGCGACGCGGGGGGCGGGAGCTGCGTTGCCATGGGAACGGGGTGGCGGGGCATCATGGCGGTGGCGGTGCTGGCGAAGTGGGCAGTGAAGGGCTGGTAGGACACCGCCTCCACGGTCTGCACGCTGTACCCCGGGTAGGGGGGCATAGACGCCCACATGTTGCAGTTCAGGGACGGGGGCGGTGGGGGCAGGTCTTCGGTCCCGCCGCCGCCCCCCGCCGCCGCCGCCTCGCCCTCGGCACCGCCGTACATGCAGGCGTCCCGGGAGCCCAGCGCTTCGCCGCAGTACGAGTGGGACAGCAGGGGCGGCTCGTAGGAGGGGGCGGGGCGGAAGTAGTGCTCCTCCGGGACGGGGGGCGGCGCTGGGTCCAGATAGGGGCGCTTGCACCCCAGCTCCAGGGGCCGGGCGCTGTCTGAAAGAACGCAGAAGGGGCACAAGTCAGCACTCCTCCCAGACTGTAGGAACTGCGTGTGTGGGCTCAGCCAGAGATCTATTAATGCTGCCAGGTTCTTGCCAGATAAAAAAGAATTACATGAGCATAAACTTTTCTTATGGCAGAGTCTGCTTTTCAAAGTGACATCGCAGAGGACACGATTCTGTTTTCTCTCCCGTGGAAATCGGTCTCCGCCCCGCTGGTGCAGAGCCTGCGTTTCCTGCCAGCAGCTGATCAGCGGCAGTGAGGCCTGGCGCTGCACCAGCTGGGCGGGCAGGAGGGCAGAGGACAGAGCGGCGGTGGGGTGGGGGGTACCTCTGTGTTTGAAGCAGTGGTAGAGCACGCCGGGCTCACGGGTGGAAGGCAGGGGAGTGACCAGGGGGTCCGGAGGGTCGCTGCCCGGCAGGGGTGTGCCGCTCTCGTACTGGTAGTGAGGGATGGCCTGCGGGTGTCCTGGCAGGACCCCTGCCCCCAGTTTGCCTGCGAAATGCCCGTGTGAAGAAACCAGCCTCTGCCTCACGATGCTCTTTGATATAACAGGGTAGTCCTTACTGTAGGGGGGGGGAAGAGAGAGAGAACGTGTGTAGTCGGAGCTGGGGAAAGCCGACCTCGTTACTCCGTCTCTAATGAGGCTGAGCTCAGTTCCCTGCTGTTAAAGCACAAGGCCCCCTCCGGGCCCTGCAGTCGTGAACGCGTGCTGTGAAGGACGGACTAACGTGTCAGAACTGGCATGACCTGTGTCAGACAGCTCACTGCAGGTGCTCTTACTGATACTGCAGAGCAAGGTCACCTTTCTGTCTGTGACGTTCTGAAACCTTGAGCCTGATGTGACTCCAGATGTGGTTCTGCTACCTGCAGCCTACAGATGTCAAAGACCACTGGCACTCCCAGGGTTCATTTGCTTTGTTTCCCTGGCAGACACACCACTTTATAACAGCCTTTTACGCTAAGAAGTTTAAATCGATTCTGCCTCGTTAACATTGGGGGCAGACAGAAAAAAAAACATTCCAAGTTAAGATGACAGCACAAAGCTTCATGTCACACACCTAAATAGTATTACAGAGCTCTGATTGGTCCCCACTCCCTGTCGTCAATAGCTACAAATCAATGGGTTTTATTGGTCTCCATAAATGATGAATGGATGACAATCTATGGATAAGTGTGGAATTGGTCCAATTAAGTCTTCGTTAACCCATTACTCCTCCCTTACATCCCGAGACTGTTGATTACTTGGTAGCTTCCAGTGGAGTACAGACCTCTGTAAGCGGGACACTCGCATGTCACCCTCTTCGCTGCCCCGGAATCCCTTGGCAAAGGGGTTATTCTCGATTTTGAGCTGCGTGATCTGCATGAGAAGCAAAAGCATGTGAGACACTGATTGATATGTCTTTGACTACTGTTTAAATGTCAATGAGTGTCAATGTTTCGGCTTTGCAGTGAAAGTGTTGCAGTTGTGGTTGGCAAACCTGATGCCATGAGACCCTCTCTTTTTCTGTCTAGAATTCCCATTTCATCTGTAATTCACATTCACATAAGGATTACATACCATAGGACAACATACAGCAAGACGCTTGCTGTAGAGTGACCATATGGCTGAGGAAGAGACTATCCTGGTGACGCTAACCAGTTATTTAAATACTTGCACAGACAGAATAACAGAAATACTCTTATACAAAGATCTAAAGCACTACACCAGTAACTTCTTCTTATTTTAAAGGTTGTTTGCCCAGGAGGTTGAAACTAATAGTAATGGTCTAGCACTGACGGAGAGTTCTGAGAACAGAAGGCAGTACCCACTCCTGGCTCCTGTTGCCCCTGCTGTGCTGTGTTATCAGGAGCTGCACTAAGCCCCCAATATGTTTGCTGAGGTCTGTGTATAAGGCTGGGTTTGGCTCTTGAATTGTGTAATCATTGTCACACTGTTACATTCATTAATCATTACGAGTCATACTCTCAAAGGCTTGATGACAGTGCAGTGACTTACAGTTGATTAAAAGAGGGGAAAAGAAAAAAACGGAATTAAAATGTGTGTTTTGTACACCACTAGATTTATCTAAATTCAAAACACTCCTGTATGTCAAGGCAATCGGTTCAGCATGCTTCACTTAAAAGCTCTGTGAGGAGCCCATGTTAAAGTTATTAAAATGTGTTTTGCTGTGATTGTCATTAGGCAGGAGGGGATGTTAATGACAGGACATGGTTTAGTCACTTCACAGTGACCTGACATGAACTGCAAAGCTGAGACACATGCAGATTGTGTTTCAAGCAGAGAACCCCGACGCGGTTTAATGTGCATTTCAACTGAACAGAGGACACTCTTGTTTGTGAGTTTTAGGTGTGTTGCCTGATAGCCCAGATTAAAAACTCAGTAAAATGCACTGAACTGACTAAACTGGCATCGGGCATATTGGGCATACACCATCAGCAAGATGACACTGTGTGTGAGAGGGATCTTAGAGAAGCACAGCACAGGTTGATTGGGAGGGCTGTCTTACCTGCAGGGGGTGATTCTGTAATGCAGCAGGAAATTGACCAGGAGGTGTCTGCGGCTATTACTGTCTCCTCCCAGCTCAGTGCGCTGTGTCAGATCTTGGGGGAATTGACACCCCCAAATTGACATTAGCACACCTCCACTTTCCCCTTTCCTGTAGAGGTTTTGAGACTCACGCCTGCTTCTTCTCGTGTGTATTGCAACGCGTACACACAACACCTTGTGCAAACAGGGCTTTCTGCTCTACGCACACAGCTTCACGTCAGCGCCTTCGCCTGTGGCCAAGGAGTTGTGTGGCCAGTGACACAACGCCTCATCGCCGGGATGGCTTCGGGAGATTTAACCACGAGAGTGTCGAGCGGGGAGCTGGGCTGGGGGCTGGGGGCACAGGGCGGCCCCGCCTACCTTGTGGTTCTGATAGGACGTGACCGATATGAAGGCGGTCTCGTGGAAGACGTGCGTGCAGAAGGCCGTGTTCTTGGAGCCGAATGCGTTGTTCTCATCTGCTTTCACGATGTGCAGCCGCGGCTGGTACTTGTGCATGGAGTTGAGAATGATCTGTGAAGAGCCCGGGGCTTATTAATGTCTGGCCGAAGGGAGTCAAAACCAAGCGTTTAATATTGACGCTGGTGGAGCGAGCAAGCATTAAGCAACATTGAGAGATTCTAGCATTATTATCCAGCAGATTCAATGATGCCACTCAGAATTGAATGCCATGCATTTCTACTTCTGTGTGTAAAAAAGCTTTTTCTAGTTATGCCGACAATCTTGCCTGCTTGTGACCTTTTCTCTGTTGTATTGCACAGCCTGTAGGTAGCTGTGCGATCTGAGGAGACAGATTGGTTATTCTCTGTTCTCTGCTTCCCTGCCTTGGCCTGTGCTCGCTGGAGTGCTGGAGCAGGGTCATCCTGTCAGCTGCGATGAGCATCAAGTGTTTCCCCACTCGTCTTAATAACCCACTCGTCCCCAGCGCACAGGCAGTGGGGCTCCTCACACTGCTGTCGCTGATGGCTTACAGAAGGACAGGAGCTTTTATAGCGTTTAAGGGGAAAGAAAGATCGTTTGCATGCTTTTTTTTTAAAAAAAGGGGGATGAATAAATGAGAAAAGGATGTATGAAAAATACAGGATGAATAAATGTATCTGCGGGACTCTCTCTGACTTAAGTATCTTCTCCTGATGTCATTTAATGAATTTGTTAGTCTGAAAGCTTTTTTATTTTTCATTGTATGGATCACACATGTGTCTGTGAGGTCATGAGGCGGCTTTGCTTTGTCGGAATACTAATGAACATCTTCAGGAATTTGTTGCCATGCATTTACAAGAGCATGCACACTTGGACACGGATCTCGCAATCAGCTGCCTAATTGCGGTGTGCATTCCACCACACAGCAGCCAGGGCTCCCAGCAGAATGGAGACAGTCTGGGCTTCTCCAGTGGTCTCCGCTCGGAGCTGTCCACTCTCATCACCGCTGAGGTGGAAAGAAAGAAGGGAGGGTTTGTGTTCAAATAAAAGGAGAAGGTGGAGGCAGGGGAGGCAGCATCTGTCTGCTGGGGCAGCAGCAGGTATGGGCACTGGATGGCGGTGCTATCAGAGACACTGTGGATCAGCCCCACAGTAGCCGTGGGATCTGTACACAGAGATAATGTTTTTACTGCTGATGCTGAGCAGATACCCTGAGGACTGGGAGGGGGGTATTTGAAGACTGGAATGTTAGGTATTTAATGACCTGCTCCTCAACAGCTCACACTGACCACTGTCCCTGAGTGATCTTCCCCTGCTCTCCGGTGAAATTTTCCCAAGACTTCCATCTTTAAAAAAAAAACATTTGCTTAGAAAGCTTTCTTTAATGATCAATTTTCTAAACACTGGTTCCAGCCCTCGCTTCCGTGCTCTCCAGATATTTATAGAGTGATACAAGTACAGTAGGTTGCTGCGTCAGCATGCATTGGCTGCAAAAGAACAAGGTTTATTCCATGCTGAAAAGAGAAGAAAAGAAACACAACGTTTCGGCTGTGGAGGATAAAAAAAAATAGAGTTTGTGTATCTCCAAAGAGCTGTCTGAGGGTACAGTGGTGGCACAACGGGACAGTAATCCTACCCTGCTGTGGGAGAGGTTTACAGGAGTGCAGCAGGTGAGCGGAGCCGTGAGAGAGGCCAGAATCACTGCAACACGTCACGTTTTGCCAACTGCCACCTTTCGCAGGCAGTGACAAATCGGCCCTTGACGTGGGTCCTGCTATTGCTTCCCACATCGGAGGCATGGAAACACTTTCGTCCGAGGTGCCCTGTGTTCGAAATGCACCATTTCGCTTGGTGGTGCCCTGAAAAGTGGGGCCCCTGAGCCTGCCTGAACAGGGGGACGTACGCTTTTCTAATGATGTTAGTGACGTCGGTTGATGTGAATGTGTTTGCTGCCAGCCACAAGACCCTAATGTGGGCGTCAGTGAGACTTAACTACCTCCCTCTGTCCTAATTATTCCCCTTATACCTTCAGAACCACAGGACTAATCCTGACAGTCAGATTAGGCGCTGGTCTTGGAGGCTATGGACCTAATGAGCTCTTTTGCTCTTTTTCTGACTCAATGTTTTTGGACAGGAGCTCCCAGGAGGCCCCAGTCGTTACGCTCTCACCAACTCGACAGAAGATCAGTTAACCTGGACTCCTGTCTCTTTTCTACTTTACCGCTTTTAATGGAGAAACCACTGTATAAATGAAAGAGATTTTCCAGGTCTTTTCTCTTCTGCCCTGCTTTTGAAATGTCAGCAGATATGCTGATTATTTTTAAAGACGATTGAGTTTGGGAAGATGAATTGTAGACAGAAATTAAATTAAAGGCCTGAATCTTTTTATTATTATTTCTCAAAGCAAGAGAAAGAAAACACGTTGGACTCTGCTGTGTGGTGCATGATATTAAACCTGCTGTTTCTCACTCAGTGGACTGTGGAGCTGAAAGCAGTAGGTGTGCTAAACCCTGAATGCCCAAGAAGGGAAAATCAATTCACGTCCACTGCTTGTCATATCCATGTGCTGTACAGGCCTTGACAGAAGATTAGTAACACATACAATAACGTGCATCTTAACCGAACATGTCCGAGGCAGTGGTGCAGTGGGAACCTGAGCTGGGGGCTGTGTGTGTTCCGGCTGTTCTGTACTCTGAACTGTGTGGGTCTGGCCCCAGGCTGCGTCTGGCTGCCCAGGGAGGTAGGGCATCGCACTGCTAATTCCAGCTCCCAGCGAGCCTCTCTGTCCTGTTCAGCAGGGACCATTGTGTTTCACTTGTTGCCAGCTGCCACACCTCTTGTCTTCACAAGGGCTGTGTGAGCACAGGCTGTTGCTCTCGGCTGCCTGACAGCAAGCGTGTGTAAGAGTCCTCTAACATGGGGCAGCCTGCCTTGTTCCCCCTCCAGCCACAGTGTACTTGGCACTGCTGGTCAACCTGACCTGTGCTCCTTTTGCAGTTGCTTGATGATTGAAGCAGTTTTCTTCAGAGGTCTGGATAGTTTTTGCTCCCTCCCTCAGTGGCCATATGAATCTGCCCTGAGGCTGAAACAGAGCCGAACAACAGGCCCATCTTTCCCAGTGTCTGGGGATTTTGTACTGTGCAAACATGCAGCTTGGCTGTTGCATCACGTAACGTGGCCTTGAAATCCTGTTTAGACAGTGCTGACTTGAACATCTAAACCTTTTCAAATAGATGTTGAGGGAGTGATGGATTTTCAAAGAGTCCTGCCTTTTGGAAGGATGCCTGATTTCATTATGTGAACGTGCATGTGAGTGATGTTCTTAAGGCTGTCTCGGGGGTAGTGATGTAGGCCTGTGCTGACAGCGCGTGTCCACCCGGCACTCTGACTGTGGACACTTACATGGCCAAAAGGGTCCAGGTGGTTGTTGGTGAGCTTCAGCTTCTGGAAGGAGACCAGCTGGCGCATCCAGTGGGCTCCCGTGGCGGGCGAGTCAGGGTGGACATACAGCCTCCCGGGCATCGCAGGCTCAGCCTTCCCTGCCACCATCCTGCAGAGACCGGAGACCCTCACTCACTCAAACGTGTCAGTGTAAGACCCCAGCACTAATAACGTGTGTGAGGACTGGATTAATTGTGACACCATGGCAGTAACACAGACATACTGGGGACTGGATTAGATGTGACACCACAGCAGTAACACCAGGTGCACTGGGGACTGGATTAACTGTGACACCCCAGCAGTAGCACCTGGTATACTGGATTAACTGTGACACCTGGAGTACTGGAGAGTGGGTTAACAGTAATTCTACTGTAGCAATAGTCTGCTCCTGGCAAATGAGAGAAATGAGTTTCTCATACAACTTCAACAATAAGGAAATGTATAGGAAGATTATTTTCATAGTGACAATATGTCAGTAGTAATACCCAAGTGTGGCACAGCTTCTCTCACTCCAACATGATTTAATTATACAGTATGTTACCAGGGTGTCACTGAAACACTGCAGAACTGCACTGGTAGGCTTATAAATTCCAGGCCATCCCACAGATCTGGAAATGTTGCTATAAAATGCTGGTTATTGCACAGACTATGCATTTCATTGGGATTTTCTTGGCATTACAGTGTTTTGTTTTTGCCATGTCCTTCCTGGCTCTCCCTTCGCTCTAGTGCTGAGCTGGAGTGACAGGCGTATTGGCTTCAAGGTCACAGAGAGGTCACTGGGGATCACTGATCCTGCCTCTGTAGCCAGGCTGTTTGTCAGACTGGTGACCAACACGAAGAACTTTAACAGTAAATTTCAATTACATCCAGCACCACGATATGATAATGCCACAGGAGATCTTTAGGTTAGACTGCTGTGAAAAGCTGTAACATGTTTAATCAAAAATCAGAAAGACTAACGCATTACAGCCCCTGAGCTGGAAGTGTACTCCAGAGAACAAGATTGCCATGACTCACGATTTACAAGCTTATTGTTTCGCCCAAAATCTGTATTAAGAACAGTTGGTTTCAATTTTAATTTATTTACGCAAAAGAATTTGTTTTCATCTTAAGGCTTCACGCACAGTGTCGACCTCTGGATCGTAACAACTGTTCTCGATTATCAACACAATCTCAAGTCTTTTCCAGGCATTGGTCTTTGTTGTCGTGAGGAGGAGGACGAGGGAGAGAGAAGAGGTTTTATTAGAAAATATGCCAGAAGCCACTTGCTTCCTTCACTTATAATCCACCCTGATGAAGTTAAATCCCTCCTTTTAAGGACGAGAGGACAGCTAGCTTCCAGTGCTCTGGATGCGTGGTTGTCAGCAAGAAAGTGAGCAACGCATGATTTCCTCGATCACAACAGAAAAATGTAAGTTAACAAAATCACGCTGGGGAAAAGTGAATAAAATTCAATTTTTTTTACAGGGCCGGATTTTGGTGTCCGTAGGCCCTAGGCACTTTCACTCCGAAATGTGCAAAAAGAGAGGTGAACGCCAATTGAATGACATCGATCGACATGATGCACTTTAAAATATTCTAATGCTGAACCACATGAGTGATGGAGCAAGTCGAGAGACCATCACTTCGATAACTCTAGTCTCTAGAACAGCCACTAGATAGCGTATGCTCATTGATTTAGAGCACCTCGAGTCGATCGCAAGCATGTTGTTTCAGCTCGTTTTTCATTAGTCACTTGTGTTTCCTCCTTCGTAGGGCCTTAAAATTTCATAGGCCCTGTGTTCTGTGCCTACAGTGCCTAATGGGAAATCCCGCACTGTTTTTTTAGCATATTCAGTATGTCAGGCTAGCAGTCTTCAAGGATGGGACAATCAGGATGAAATCACAGATTTGATTTGTGTATCTTGACAGCCTGCCAATCCAGGGCATGTTCAAGGAGAAGTGGCTCAAAGCCCTAAACAGTTTGCAAAAGTGTTACTTTTACAGGCTACCTGATCATTTTCCCCTGTGGGTTTGGGCCCCTATCAACCTGTATTAAAACTCGATTGCACCTGAGTACAGCGCAGGGAGTCTTTCTGGCCTTCTGACATCCCAGAACTAGAATCCCTATAGGACGCAGCATGCAAAACACCCCCTGCCCTGCTGGGGAGACGTTTACTGCGGTAAACTTTGTCCTTGCTCAGAGCAGAGTGTAGCAAAGGAAAGCAAGAGCATGACAGGTGTGTTCAGTTGTTCAGAAAGCTTGGTAGAACGCAGGAAAGCAAAGTGCGGTAAAAAGCATGGTAAAAAAAGTATTTACTGTGATCGCGTTTTCTAAAGAAGAAGGGAAAGCAGCTGGGGCACCGCTTCACAAATTTTTTTATAAGGTGGTGTATAGAATGCGAAGGGAGAATCCCTTCCCAGAGGATGACAGAGCACTTTGTGAATAAATCCGATTCCTGCTGTGCACCCAAGAGACGGGCTGGCGCTCAAGGCGTGACCAGGGAGCTGCTGGGGGTACGGATGAAGGGCTCGTGCTGGTCAGCTGCGTCTCTATCCCCCTCTGTCGCGTTCTGTGTTACCCCCTAAAAACTTGGTGAGGGGTTGGAGCCTCTGGCTTTAGACCTGAAGACGCTCCCCTGCCCTGACACACACACGTGTGGCATCGGTGAACAGCTGGGTGCTGGGGGCGGACTTACCATTTGTTGTCGCAGAACTTGTAGCGGTGGTCGTCGGCCGGGACGATGTCGATGAGCAGGATGTACTTGGTCTTCGGGTTCATCCCTGTTACCTTCACCTTGTAGCTCGGAAACATCCTCCTGTGAAGAGGGCGAGCCGGTGTGAGCAGGGATCCGTGGCAGAGATGTCACCTGCACTGGGCTAGGCTGAAATGGACCATCTCAGGCGGCCCATCGTGCTTAACCCTGCGATGGTAAAATGACTGGAGCCACAGGATGAATTAGTCTGGTCTGGCTGGAGGGACTCTCCACGTCTAGGTCTATCTGTAGTGTTTCCTTGTCTGGTCTTTTCTCCTGAGCCAGCCAGTTGGGCCAGCAGGCTGACCAGCTGCTGGTCTGTGTCATTTCTACATGCAGTGCTCTCACTGCACCTGACCAGGGCCTGTAGAGAGTGCAGACCTTGATCATCCTGTTTAAAGAATCACCTGCTTGGAGATAAGAGGGGAAAAAACATGTCATATATTATTTTTTGTGTTTGACTTCTCAGCAGATATTGGCCAGTTTTCTGTTCCTTCTTTTTTGGGAAGCAGCCAAAAAAAGAGCCCAGCCCTGCGTAATGCTCACATTTGCCAGCTTGATTCCTTGTTTTCTTTGTGCAGTGACTTGGTAAAAAGGGAAAGCCGAGGAACTTCAGAGAGAAAATGGGAGAAAGAGATAATAAATGCCCTCTCTGTGTGTTTCTGAGTGCAGGAAGCTTATGGATTTTCTCTGTTCTTAATTGACCCGATGAAAGCAGATTGAAACAAGGTGTCTTTACAGAGACTTAAACTGATGGCAAGTGCAGATAAGACCGTCTTTAAGGATTTTCACAGGGCTTTATCAGATCTGAACTGTGCTATCGTCACAGGAGGTGTTCGTTCTTGAGGAGATGCAGTGGAGATTACTGGGACTCAATCCATTTAACCTGGTTTTTCCATTGAGATTATGATGTAACACCTTGAAAGCATGCTAGATGTCTGAGCTGATCAAGGGCAGAAAAGAGCCATGTTCCAGCACGACAGGTTCTAAGGAGCTCAAGAGGTTCCCAGCAGGGAAAGTGTTCTCGCTAAGGCCTGAGGAATCACTGTTGCACCTCAGACCCTTTGATGTCTGGGGCAGATTTTGTCGTACCTACTTTTTCCTTGCTAAGAATTACCAAAGTATTTCGGAATGAAGAAAAAGACAGTGATGGATTCCTTCCCTCTGCTGGGTGTGGGGGCTTTGCGCTCTGCAGACCGTGGGCTGGCCACTGAGCGTTCGTACACGAGAAAGTGCAGAATAACGGACGGCACATGCTAATACAGCAGACGAGGCCGTAAAACACATCAATGGCGCTACCTTCCGTGACCTCTTCTTGGGTTCTCTAAAATCAGTCTTTTTCATCCTATCTGCGTTGAGGCAGTTGTGGAAGGAACCAGCACCCTTATAAACCTTAAGTGCTTTTTAATGGCAGTTAGGGCTGCGCTTCAGCTGACACATCACTGCCCACGAGGTGTGCAGCTATAGAGCTTCAGAGATACACGACGCGCGATATCAGCAGCGTAAGAGCAGCAGTCATTACAAACTCATCAGTGGCCTCACGCTCACAGGAGAGGATCTTAATGAGCTTAGGGTTACTGTGCAACCCCAGTGTGGTTTTTAAACCACTGTCTCCTGGACTTCTATTGTACTGAGCTTTCTCTGGAGGACTGTTAACAAGGAGACTCAGAGGTGTGTGTGCATAAGTTGAACAGAAAGAGCCATCCGTGGTGCACTGTTGCATCTGGTTGAAATGTGAACCACAATTTTACTACCCCTTTAACACAACTTTGGAAAACCTTCTTCTTAGATTCTTCTTCCTCTTCCCCCTCTTCTGGTCTTCCTTGTCTCCTTTTTCTTCTTTCTCTTCTTCCTCTTCCTCTTCTTCTTATTGAGAAGAAGATGAATGATGACATCTGGTGGTAGTGGACGTCCTGTGTGAGCAGCCAGAGAAGTTCTCACATTCCCAGTGGCCGGGCAGTTTTTATCACCTCGCCTGACAGCTCATTACAGTTCTGCTGTCATCAGTAGTTCTTGTGAATAATAATTCCTTACACTTCTATAGCACTTTTCTGGACACTCCAATCAAACCAATTTACAGGTAATGGGGACCCCCTCCACCATCACCACTGTGTGGATGAGGCAACGGCAGCCAAAGTGCACCGGTACACTCACTACACATCAGCTAAGTTTAGTGATGGGATCAGAGATGGGGATTATTAGGAGGCCATGACTGGTAAAGGCCAGGGGGAAATTTGGCAAGGACACCGGCGTAACACTCCTAGTCTTTTTGAGAAACACCCCGGGATTTTTAATGACCACAGAAAATCAGGACCTCGGCTTTACGTCTAATCTGAAGAACAGCACCTTTTTACAGTATAGTGTCCCCATCACTATACTGGGGCATTAGGACCCACACAGACCACAGGGTGAGCGCCCCCTGCTGGCCCCTCTAACACCTCTTCCAGCAGCAACCTTAGTTTTTCCCAGGAGGTCTCCCATCCAGGTACTGACCAGGCTCCCACCTGCTGAGTGACAGTGGGCGGCCAGCTGTGAGTTGCAGGGTGATATGGCTGCTGGCTAAAAAAAACAGATGATGTTGGACTGTTTTGCATATTGAGTGGCATGTGAAGCTGAAGGTCTTGGAAAGGCAGGGGAAAGGCAGGGGCTCTGATGCAGGTTGCTGCATCAGAGCCCCTGAGCCTGAGCCTTGCTCTCCTCAGGGGTTTTCACTGAACACGCCAGGCTTCCTCCCACAGTTCAAAGACACACTGTCCAGCTGCATGCTCATCCCTAAATTGTCCCCTGTGGTCTTCTGTGGCCTGCGATGGACTGGCATCTTCTCCAGGGGGTGTCCTTCCTTGTGCCCAGGGCCTGCCAGGCTCGGCTCCAGCTCTCTGCGATCCTGTATTGACTTAAGCGGTTATTGAAAATAGGCAGCTGGCTTAAAAAGTGTCCACCAGGCAAAACATCCTGCTTCCCCCTGACCGCAGTCAGCGTTCATTTTAATAGAGCCATGCCACCACACTGCTGTCTGCCCTGAGACTGCAACACGCCTGTTACTTTTAGCTCTAGCGATCGCATCGAGACTTAGAGCAGGCCTGAGCTGAGCTTGGGGAAGAGGCGCGGCCCTAAACAAGTTTGTTTTATGTTCAGCTGACGCTGGCGGGCCTGTCGGGGAGTGAAACTGAACTCGGGGCCGAGATGTCACATCTCCTCCCCTCTCGTAATTCATGCGGCGGTGTGGAATGTTATTCCTCGCCCCGAGACCGGTGCTACTGCTGATGGCAGCCGCGATAGATCACACTGCACGTCTGGTGGGGGGTCCCGGTGGCTGAAATGCGGGCTTCTTACGTGCACAAGTTGCGGAGACGTTTACCGGTGTTGCGTCCGAGCAAATTGTGATTCACTTCCCGACGAGCTTTCGCCCGCACACGCGAGTCCAGACAACCCACTCCTGACCTTGAATGAGACGCGGTGGAAGTTGCAGAATAAAAAAAAAAAAGATTGAATTGGTAAAGCTATGTGCCCAACACTAACACAGCTCTGTCTACTGCACGTGTCAGTTCATGTTTCCACAGGCTGTGTGTGTCACTGTACTGTATGCTGGTGTGTGGGGGGGGGGGGGGGGGGGATGAATTAAATTTTAGTTTGTCATTGACGTCTCCAAACCAAAACTGCTTTTCTAATAAACCAAATGACATCTTCAGTTAAAGCTGAAGTGCCACGACTATTTGATTCACGCTCTGTGGAGTTCCATCTGAGTGGTGTTTGGAACAGCACATAAATACGTAGCGGAGCCAGTGAGAGTTTGCCCACAAATAGAGGAGTGCAAGCGCTCGTGTGTGTGTGTGTGCTCGCATGTCGGAATGCATCACTCTCGGCATGTGTGTGTCCGTGCCAGCTGTTTCTTTTAGTTATCTTGTGCGTCTCGGCCCCACTATGATTGATTCTGTGTTCCCTGGGAAACACCGGCAGGAAGATCAAAAGGAGCCGAGGGATGATGGAGCTCTCTGTCCTGAGTGTCCCGAGATTCTCATCCCGGGCGCCCCGTTTCTCTTATCACTCTCCGCAGCTCCTCCTGACGAGCTGTATACAGAAAGGGGGCCGTCCGCTTTGAAGTGTGGGATTAGGCCGGGCCACAGCCGGGAACTCGCAATAACAAACAGTCCCCCAGGTTCAGATGGAGTTCTCCGGCGCTTCATCGCTCACCGCGGGCTGGCGCGCCCAGGGACTTCACTGGCGGAGTAGGAACCCCAGTGGAAAAGCTCTGAGCGTCCCCATTTCAGCTGGCCGAGACCAGTAACCTCCCGGCTCAGAGCGTTTGAGACAAACCAGTGGAGGGCACCTCACGACTACAGCAGCAGTTTGAAAGCGATCATGAGACAAGCAGTTGTAAGAGGGTCATTCCGATAATCGACCCGTTCAGGCCAGCTGCTGTTAGTAACCACTTGCTACTGCAATTTCTGCTAGAACCAGAATTTCCACAAGCGCCTTTCAGACAGCGTATGCGGCCCTGGATGTCTACGCTGAGTTCAGTTTATCAGTGCGCCGAAGTCAGGTTCCTTAAACCGGAAGGGGCCGTAATAACTTACTTTGAAGTGATTGTTATTATTGTTCTTCAGTACGTGTGTCCGTGTGTATACTCTCTCTATTCATTTTTTTTTTTTAGTTTCCGTGTTTATTTCAGTTTCCATGAAACTGGTCCCAGCTCTTTGGAATTCAAATGTAATTTTAAATGATTCATGAATTTACCACCCGCTGTGGCTGTTACCCTTTTTGCACAAAACTTTACTGTTGCACTTTTTTTTTGTGCTGTAATTGCATGCAGCCCGTTTCGGTATACTGTCCATTTTTTTATTTCAGGAGCAGCTGGTCACTTCATTGCTCAGGGAGAGAACGTCTGATAATGTCTGCTATTTCCACGTCCGCTGACGTCAGTGTACATAGGTGAGTGTGTTCCCCGTGTAGACGTGTGTGCATGAACCGACTACATCAGTACAACAGCCGCAGTGTAGGTCTTCCCCTCCCCCAACCACTCCATCATCTCACTCCAGCACCGCTTGCCTGAATACAGCCCGCCTGTTCCGAACTGCACCTCGGCTTTCACAAGCCTCTGAACTACACAGAGATCGCATCCTTGCCATGCCCAAAGAGCTGAATAAAGGGATCGAATTTCTGATTTATAAAACCGAGCAAATGAGTCAACTTAATTAGCACCCGGGATAAAAAAAAACGCGCTTCCACTCTTAATGAGACCGCGGGAGGAAAGGGGGTTCGACTTGATGTGTCGCCCTGCACGCTGCGGGTTTCATTCCTGCCAATGTATTTTCTGTTAATTGGAACTGAAGTCTTCGTGTTTGACTGGACGTGGGCAAACAGACCGCGGAAAGCCGTCACGAAAACCTTGAGATTCTGGGGGGTGTTTGATCTTAAACGCCACATTCTGCACACAGCACAGCAGGCCTTGCCTTTGTAAGGAAGTCCCTATTAAAAAACAAGAAGAAAACATTTTATTATTCTCCCCAAGAAAATAGTATTATGAAGTTCGTTTAAAATTCCATGTCGTGAAAGATTTAGGCTATTATTCTCTGTGGTTTTAATTATTAAAATTTGGTATTCACAATAGAAGATGTAGGTATATTTTACCCGCTTTGAAGATTTAAATCCCAGACATCTTATTTCCAGACACTTTTAGTCATCTGCTATTCATATGAATATTTTTAATGCAAGTAAAATGCATTTTGTCCGTTTTAATTTGTAAAACTTATTGTCCAAATATTTATTTAAAAGTGGGGTTTTATTGCCCTGGAAGTTAATTTTACTAACTTAATGCCGAGTCTGTTTTCGCTCTGTACAAACAAAGGAGCAAAATCTATGAAACACTCTTTCGGCTGTCCTACATATGAACAAATAAAAAAGACCCTTAAAATAACAAGTGATTTTTCAAATTGGAATTTGCAGAACTGCATTGAATTGCAGTTTTCATTTTTGCATCTAACAGGATATTTCATAGATTCATGAACGTAACGGAGAGATTCGATTTTTTTTTTGTTATTTTTGCCTCAAAATATGTGGACCTCAGCGATGTCAGATGGTTTAACCAAAATGTAATAAATGATTCAGCAAAGAATGGCGTTTGTTTATTACAGAGTCAATAGTCATTTATGATCTTAAATTATAGCCACACAGTTAAGACTCTAAAGTGTAGTGGCTCGAATAAAGCTGAGTTTGGGGAGATTCCCGTAAATAAACAGTATTCGTGTTTCCTTCACTCACCGCTGAGTCTATGGGTTTCTGTAACGAGCAGACACACTTTTTTAAAACAAAAAATCATAATAAAATAAAATCGGCGCGGAAACATTTTCAACAGCTAATAAAGACTCTCAGCCGCGTATTAAAAAGATTGCTGTGAGAGTCGTGCGGCTCCGTTGAGTGTTTTACCGTTTCAAAAATTAAAATTAAATAAAGTTTAAAACTAAAAACCCTGGCCCTGTTAATAAAATATTTCAGAAAAAAATGAATAACATTATTACATAATATTTCGGAGTGACATTTTACTGATATACGTTAGTATCGGTACTGTATAAACATGTTGAAGCTTACAATTACGGCTTAGTTAAAATAATGTTAAAGGTTTGTTATTATTTAGCTCCAAAATTACTTTTCGTTACCACTTATCTTCGGTAAGCGGGCAATTTGCTATAAAAAGCCAGTTAAATATCAAAATTATTATTTCTCCGGTGAATTGCGGTACTGCCTGTTGGCTATAGAAGGTCGATCTTTTCGTCTCGGTGATGAAATGTAAAATAGGAGAAATGTACGATTAGAACGGGACAAAAGTAAATGTGGACTTTCAAAGTTTATAATGTAGCACCAACAAATGGGCAGGCAGATTAATTTTAAATAAATATTAAAGCGTCCATTTCCGTCCAGGTAGTGGAGAGCGCTTGTTGCCATGACAGCCAGGCCGGCTTCCGCCCCAATTACCGACACCTGTGGCTTTTGAACCGCGACGGAGGTGAGACTGCTATTACAGCATTTTCCTTATTTATTTAAATTAAACTTTTAAGACCAGACTGATACTTTAATTAATAATTTTAAAATGGATGTCGTTTCAAAATAATGCTAAAAAATAACTTTGTTTTGAAGTTTTCCCTGTGCTGTTAGTAACGCTATTGACCGCAGAGCTTTGCTTTGTATCTGGCGGGAGTTGATTTTCATGTTAGTTTTTGTCCTGAACGGTTTTTACAATGTATTACCTCGCGTTTTATCCATAAACTAAAAACAGAGCACATATACGATACTAAAAGTTTTTTTTCTGCATTTATTATTAACAGTTCCAATGTGACCGAAAATAAAACGATTTTTTGTTTACAAGAAAACAATTATGACAATACATTTTACTAAAAACCCATTTTAAACATCTGGAAGGTTTTCTTTTGAAAAGGTCAGGTACCGTTCCTAAAAAAAAAACAGTTTAAAGTCGCATTTTTCTGAGGTTTATCGGCCCAGCTGACGGAATTTGTGACCGTTACCCAGGCGTATCTGTATTTCCGAGTGGATGTTTTTTTTTGTAATAGAAAAAAAAACTTTAATTGTTATTATTTTCAAAATCGATGGGAGGTGACTTGAGCCATATTGTCTTTTATTGCGGGTGTGTGCCGCGGTTTCCATTCCTCTTACACTTGAGATAACGGCACCATCGAACCCCTGTTCTCACTGCTCCAGCCACAAAACCAACTGCGTCCTGTGAAATTTCCCATTTTCGGCAGACGAATGGGAAGGAATAGGCTTTTAAAATCTTACTCATTCCCTGGTTCGGGTCCAGAGCCTTTCCCCTTTTCCTTGGGCTCGTTAAATCTAGATGTACACAGGGTTGCGTCTTGTGTTTCAATTAGACACCCATGAATGCAAAATGTTTTTCTATACCTTGTATCCTTTCACCTTCTAGAAAGTCTTACATGGTGGCTGAGGAAGTGAGGCGTTCCCAGTGGCAGGACACTCTTATCTCACTAACAGACTGTTAGTCAGGAGACCCCCAAAGGCTAGCGTGACCCCACCTCCCCTGCTCCAAAGCAGCAGTTTCCATAGCAGTGATGGGCACTCAGGTCACCACTAGGTGAAATGGTTTCCTCTTACCTGCCTGCTTTAGTAATGATCATCTCGGTCCCCGCTTCGTGAAACTTCTTCCACAGCTCCCTCTCGTGAAGGAACACCTTGATGTTCTCGATGTTCTGACACGTCAGACGCAAGCATGTGAAAAAGAGAGTCAGTCTGTGAAGCTCTGTACGGCACGAGCAGCGCAATGAAATGTTTGCTGAAAAGCATCCATTTTCAAATACCAGAAATCAACACTTTAAGCTGCATACTGAAGGACGTGCAAGGTCCTGCATTGGAGTGGATTGAAAGTTTCTACCTATATTTGATAGAATTTTAGTGCAGTCTATAATTCATTATTTTTATTGGGCAACAGGGAAACACCTGGTTTTCTCCCTAGGGTAAAACCCAGATGGAGATTATTTTAAGACTCCCGCTGTAGAGCCCCTCCCTAAGTCATGTAACTCTGTGACCAGGAGAAGGAGCTGCCTGGTGGGGTGTGTGAGGGGAGGGGCACAAGTTACCTGGTCAGGTTCATTGCTGTGTGGAGTGCTGGCGGCCGGAGCCAGGCTGAGGTGTGCGGACTCAGGTGCAAGCTCAGTAACCCCTTCATCTGTCACAGCCGGGACCTTCTCCTGAAGCATCTCCTATTGACCGGGGACGGGAGAACAGGGGACAGAGAGGCAGGATTAGTACTGGGGGGAAAGCCGCCAGCCGCCAGCCGCCAGGGTTTGGGAAATACGCAATTGTACAGAATGTACAGAGCTCAGTGCATGTAAGACGAGCTGTCTTGGCACTGCTTGCAAGCAACAGTAAAGTGGGGCAGAAAACTGCACAAACCTTATGATTGAAATTGTTACTGTATCGAGTGGTTGATGTGAATTCTGAAACCAGTGAAAATGACATATTTAGAAACTGTCATCTCTTTGTTTTTTAATTCCAGAAACGGAATTCTATTAGTCTATTTGTCCTTAATCAAAGGTTTGCATCAAATGAACCGAGTAGGTCATAATTCATAATGTAGTGGCATTGGCAAAATTGAACCTTGTCAAAACCAATAATTTAATAAGGTTCTCCACTGAAGCCAACCAAAAGCTCAGTTATTATGCTGTGATGAAGTGTACTAATTATTGATTCTGCTCACTATTCTGATGACTGTTAATTTTGGTTGGGAGGTGGGTTTAGCATGTTCACTGTCAATGTGATTTGTTATTTACAAGAATCTATTTACTATAATCTTATGGATTCTTGCATACTCCTTACTTATTACTTAAGGCTCTGTCTCAGAAGATTTGCTTTCTTATTGAACCTGCTGAAAACGAAAGGCAGTGCCTAATAATGTAGCACAAGTAACTGTTGTGGAACCTCCACAGCCCACCTCTAGCGCCAAGAATCCTAATTCTATTGCTCCCACCTTGTCAAATATGTAGCAACTGAGATGAACTGAAGAAAAGCAAGCATGTGAAGTATTTAAGCAACCACAAATTAAATTCTGCTAGTGGACAGCCATACTAACAATACTTTGTTTGTGATTGTTCTTTCTTTTTGAGTCTCCCAATGACCAATAGAATAGCTTCATTCTGCAATCTCTGTATGATTGACATAGCTTTTGGCCAATGCCTGCCCTTCTAAAGTGTGTGCTAAGAGGGGGTTCTCACGCCATTTTAAGGGAGTTTTTGCAGGCAGTTCTATATGCAGAAAAGTTACTGACGCGGCATGGATATAAACTTACGTGCTTTGCTCCAGCCGCAAAACAAACAAGCTTTTTTATGTGACTCAAGCAGTCAGGCTTTGCTTGTCTAATTTCTTTATTCCTTTGCTTAATTTAGGGAAAGCATGAGTTTTTGGAACTGCAGCTTCAACAAAAGCAAGCTCCTTAATCCTCCTTTTAAAACATGTATATAAATACGAAAATTTACATCTGTCGTGTAGCCCCTGTTCAGTCATAACTACATTGGAGACTCACTGTCTTCTGTTCTTTATACAGTTCAGTATGTATTCATGGCAATATGGGAAACCACTACTTTAAAAAGCTATCTACAGAAGAAAGTTATTAATATGTATGATTAGTAAGAGCACTGTCAACTGAAGATAGTTCTCTTGTTTACAGTTCCCTTAGTTGAACAAGGTAAGTGAAAGGTACATTTTCACTGTAAAAGGTCCAGTGTGATTATACAAATTATACAGTGACCAGACCCTGAGGATGTGCAGAAGTGACCTATCGGACAACATTCTCTGCTGGAGCTCTTGACATCTGACAGTAGAGCTACAGAATAGGATATACTAGACAGTCAGGTAACATGAAGGCACGTTGAAAATCACAACACAAATCTCCAAACCTGCAGCTTCAGTGGGAATATTGTGTATTTAAGAAAATAATTCCTTAATCCATTTTGTCCCAGTACTTCTGACTTTATTTTCCACTTATATTGTGGTTTAATATACAAGTTAATTCCAACCACAGGTGACTAGTGAAATGTCTTTTTCTCCTGCATGTTCATTACTGTATTGAATTAAGAGCTATGCACTACATTGAATGAAAGGCAGAGCTGTAACTACATGAGATCACAGGAATGTTGGACAACACAAAGTAAAAGTTTCTTCCTTCTATGTGATCAAGAGATGTGCCTGCCAAGTGAATGACGCAGTCTGGCTGTTGCAAAAATGAGAACTAGCATATCTCTGTTCTTTCTGAGGGATTTCAGCAGTAATGTTTGATATTTAAGGATTTTTATTTATAATTTATGGACAAAACAAATTCAGTATTACCCAGATTCTATACATAAATCATTCTTTATTTTGCCTGAATAAACATATGCCTTGAGAAATCTATGATTCCAAAACCCTGCTTTTGAAGACAAGGTCGAGTGCAATGAATTGTTTGATTAGATGTTTATGCTTCTAATGTTACAGGATCCCAAGTTTTATGTAACAGGGCTAAACAGTGTGGATTCCATTAGGAAAGGTCACAACTTGAGCTGCATGTACGTCCTTTTGCCCTCCACAGAAACAAACATTACCGAAATCTCACTGTCTGCAGAAGGGGAAAAAAAACACTCTTCTCTTGTCACACATAACCAAAGGGCCTGAAACCCTGTTAAAACAGTAAAGAATTCATCTGAAGATTATACATATATTCTAAATCTTGTGCATGTAAATAATGTGAGTGCTTGCACCAGAGATAAAAGGGGAGAAATTAAACCCTGCATAAACTCACGCAGACACTGGGAGAAACTAATAAAGATAAGAGCTGACTGGAACAGTAAGGCTGTCGCAAATCACGCTGGACCTTTTACAGTGAAAATGTACCTTTCACTTACCCTGTTTAACTAAGCATAGTGCACAACTGCTGTGTTTATATCTCCGTCACTCCAGACTTACAGTCCTCTAAACTCTTTGGGGCTGATAGAGTGTCACATGCATTTTGGCTTAGAAGGTATATATTGAAAAGCTGAAATCCATCCAAAATTAAATAACAGTAATTACTTTGAGGCGGTGAATCTAATTTCGTTAAAAACAGTACTTTCACTGCATTCATTTCAAAGAGCGTGCCCTTCACATCCTAGAGTAATTTGATATCCATTAGTATTTTTTTCTTAGTTTTCCTTTTTTAGATCATAAGTTTTTCTGATTATTCTAGCTGTTTTCCTAATTTTACCAAACTAAAACTATTTATTTCAGAAACTGTCACAAATAATGTCTCTGGGTGTATTTCTGTTAGAAGTGGTGGTTGTGGTTGTTGTTGTTGTTTAAAAAGGGTTAAATGCCTGTATGTACAGATTTCTGATGCATGTTATTTAGAAAGTTATTAGAAATTTCAAAATGCCTGCTTATACAGTATGCTTTTGTATAAGCATAGTTTATTTGCGAATGGCTTTACGACTATAATAAGCAAGCCTTCCTTGCTACTTACTGAAGAAAATGGGCTAATGAAGGTTCTTTCCAAAACATTATGGGATACGAGATTTTAAAAACAATCAGAAAAGTACAAGTTAGAACTCAATAAAAAAACACAGCCTTCAATTAGGTTTTATACTCAGTAACTGGTCCATCACTCAAAGTACTAACCGTGCTCACTGTTTATTATTGATCATATTACAACTACTATTACTAAATGAAAATGAAAGAAATGCAGCAGTCATCAATGGTCGTTAGAGAATACGCATGCATTACACTTAAGCAATTATTAAAAGCAGTACTTCTGAGGGTCGCCATTTGCGTGACATCGTGCGCGCATTGAGTTGTGATTAATGATAGATTTAGTGCTAGATTTTCTTCCTTAGTCTTTATTCAAGTGTTTTGTTTAACGTCCACTTGAAATGCCGCACTTCAAAATGCTGTTTCCGTCTTGCGCGGAAGAGAACTTTTTCGGCTCGTTTGATACTCAAGAAATGTAAACAAGGAATCGATTATTAAAAATCAGTTTAATAAAGAGACTGTGGATTTAATCGCTTTTACAATGTACTGCACGATCGTATTTTAATTGTAGTATTTTACATATAGCAATCTAACGTGCAAAGGCGAATACAAAATGTCTTGGTAACTTAGAATTATGTGGACGTTTTTTTAATGAGTTGTAATTTTAAAATAACTGAATTGTAAGTGTGGGAACCTACTACTATTTTGTTCTTTGTGAAATTTAAATACTTAGAAAATCAGAAGTTGCCTCCTGATTAAGTTTTAACTTGTTTTGCAAATATTGAGTGCCAATCAAAACTAGCATAAAATAACACTGTTGCATTTAGTAATTTCAAATCAATAAATGAACGTTTCAAAGCTTATTTTGCAGTGAAATACGAAGTACTCAATTATATCACTTAAGCAGTATGGAACCATAAAGGAGAGTCGTTTATTTGTAGCTCATAGCGACTTAACGTTGAAAGCGTCTCATTTTGTTTTCGGGTTAAGAAATATTGTGCATAGTAGCATTGCTAATATTATCGTGCATAAAAACATTATTGTAAATCAGGTTAAACACGGAACCTTTGGATAAAGCATTCCAATCTGATATTATATTTAAACATTTGTTCTATAAACATTTAAGATACTTTTAGTGAGTCAAGCGTGGTGCAAGATCGCGATTATAATGTCCTGTTGACAGAACTCGAGAGTTAGCTCAGTGTAGGTCACACGAGCTAAAGGCAGTAAAAGATTTGCGAGAAAAGGAATGGAAAAAAAATCTTTAAATGTACCCAGCGACACATCTGTATAGTAACATTAAAATGCATTTGTAAGAACCTCACCCCACGAATTTCTTGTATTTAATATTTTCGAATTCGAACAAATCTAACATTTAATGCGACTGTGTTGTCCGAGTGTAACATTCTGAAATCCTCCTCATGGAAACTTTCACATCTGGATTAGTCAGAAACTGTACACAACTCTGTAAAATAAGATGGCTGATTATATCTGATACATATTATCTGGGGTGGGGTATCTTTTAAAACCACAGGTTGAATATGACAGCTTCTCGTTTGATTCACTGTAGGCTTTTACCTTTTAATGAAATACGATTGTTGAATAAAATTCATGCTATTTTTACGCTATTCTGCTATCCGTTGCCTCTCCTTCTCACTGGCTGAGTGTCGGGTTGTATTCCTGGTGTGTAGATGTTTGAAAAGGCACAGGCCCTAAGCCAAGTACCAATCATTTCTTTCTGCCGAAACTTCGCGCTTGACCCGAAAGACGCTGCTGTGTGCGGCAAGCCTCAATGGTAGACGGTTATCATTTTATCGTCCGTTTCCAAAACGTCAAGGCAAGCCTGTCTGCGGCTCCAGTTTCACCGATTTTCCGATACACAGCTGAAAACCCACGCACACGCCGGGCTTAATGTTTACCATCAACAACAAGCTCATCTCTGGCACCATCTCGTCAACGAAGAGCAATGCCCCAAGCCGCCGGGAATTTGTTTACGCTTGAAAATATTTGAGAGGTGAACGCCGTCAACGCGGTGTTGACTGTGGTATACGCCCTCCAGGGCCACAATTAAAATCCGGAGCTCAGTCCTCCGTACTCACTACAGCACAGCAGACCCGCGTCTTCGCCCTGTCTCAGCTGTCAATGGGACGCGCATTGAATTCGGAGGAAAACGAAGTGATTATGGAGCCTCATCGAGACTTGCTCAGGTCTGACAGCAGCAGCAGCTTTGGAGCCGTGTCGTGGCTGACACTTTGCAAACACACACACACACAAAAAGCAAGCAGCTGGGGAAGGCAACACCGACTCTTAGTTTACCTCATGAAGTGTGTGTGCAGAAGTCCTCCATCTCAGTCCAAACTGCGATTCAGTTTCCTCGCAAGAGCACGAAATCACACTCCGGCCAAGAGACAGACAGCTACGGTAGCGGCTGGTCGTTGCGCGTATTTCGTCGATGCTGCCTGTGTTGGATGTCTATGGCGAGGATATAACGGTACTTCAGGAATCCTCACCCAGGGCCACGCGTGAACGCGCCTAAGTTAACCCTGACGTGGGGAAACCGGGGCCAGTTTGCACATTGCTGTGGGTCCGCAACCACAGTGTGAACCGGGGATCCCGGGATGGGATGTTTTCTTCGAGCCAGGAGGAGGGAGAGAAAGAAAGTAGGGGGTAAAAAAAGTTGGTGCTCTTCCCCTTGATTTGTTAAAACACGAGAGTGAAATATATGGCCCTTTCCCCTCACACCCCCCCCGCCACCCCTCCTCCCGTCTCAGCGCTGACGTCGCTCGTGACAACAGCACCTACTCTGCCCCGCGCGCAGCCAGTCGCGCAGAAGCAGGGGAGAAGAACTCCAATTTGGCGATCAGTACTCGATTACATATTGATCCCCCGTCCAAAGCCTTAATTGAGTATGTTTCACCACTGGTATCAACAGGTTCAGAGATACTGTTTTTATTTCGTTCGTAACGCAAATTACCCTTACTGCCAACAGCCATTTTATATTTCATGACTTGTCTGTTGGCAAGCGGATCGGCTGTTATCTGCCGGGCTCTGGACAAACTAAAGGTGTGTGCAAATGGGCCTAAATATCAAACCCAATCAAAGTAATTCCCATCCTAAAATACGTGCAGAGATGTACGCGTTTCCCTGTATGGAAGCCCACTACGTTAAGGGGAAAACTAGTGGACTTGATTGTGGATAAAGCCAAAAGCAATACATAAAACGTGAAACAATAATTCAGAATAAATTTCTTCTTGGGAGCCTGTCTCCTTTTTCATTTTCAGGGGTGTACGTCGGACTTCTGTTTTTATAATTGAAGTATATGAAAGTTTTAGCAATCGATTTTACATTTGCTTCTGATCCACACCCTTAGACACGGTATCTTTAATTTATTTTTCAGAAATATTTTCAGAATATTCGTCTCGGCGCCACAGGTCATGTGCGCACAATATTGACAATGTTATTTTAGCACATTAGCGACAGGCGTCCTTAGAATAACAGTGCGGGCGCGCCGAGGCGTTTTGTGGAATTGATGAAGCTGTTGATGAATTATCCTAAAGTAAGAAATCGAAAACGCTTCCAATGAAATACGGCTGTGGTTTTAAAGTAAATGGGTCGAAGCACAAGGTTGAAAGACCAATAAATTACCTTGAAGTCTGAGTGCCGGTGGGGAATTTGAGTTATATCTGCTGATGACATGTCCAAATGTATTGGAAAAGAGCAAAAATGTCAGATGGTCGCTCATTAGCCATAAACTTTTTTTTCAAGATTATTTAAAATCACTTTTTACATCAAGTTAGAATGATGTCTGAATTATTATTATTATTATTATTATTATTATTATTATTATTATTATCAATAAATATTGCCACAGAGCGTTTAAAGGTTTTTGTCGCGGTTAATAGAATAACAGTTGACCATTTGTCACGGAAGAAAGAAAAATAAAAACTCCCGTTTTCTGTCTGTGATATGTAAATACAAATCGATCTTGTTTAAAAGTCATAATTATGACGGCAAAATGTTCGATTTTTTTAACATGATTATCTTAGCATTTTCTTTTGTATTTGAAAAAGAAGCTATGCGAATCAAATTCACATGTTATTTGTAATCCTAAATTGATTTTATTAAATACGAAACAAGTTTCAGGATTTTTGACTTGGTGATTTCGAATTTAGTATCGGTTTTTAATTAGCATTAGATTCAAATAACTTTTATTTACCATCAGCTCGGGGACAATAGTGCTACTACATAATTATTCGTCTATGCGCTAATAATAGTATATATTAAGACTCTGTATAGTTTAATTTAAGTATTTGTTCATATTATTGATTGACTTGCAATCGAGAGATCTAATTATGTGTAATTCTGTATGAACGGAAGATAATTTCTTGACCGCTGCCCATTGATATCTCAAATCACGCAAACTTTTACGTACTGATTTTATGTACTGATTTTATATTCGGGATTCAGATTCTATTTTACCATATCATGTTTTCTTCCTCATCTCTAACGATTGTACACTATTTAGCCTACGTGAACGAGTACAGAAAATGTGATCGGATTTTTCTCATCTGATTTAAAATCCCACCCAAATATCCAATGGCTCTTGTTGGGAAATTTAGATTATTGATTGTTGTCATCTTGTACAAAAAAAAAGTTTAGTAGGAAAAGAGAAAACAATTCACGCATCAAGAGTAAGTACTGTAAGTTCAGTATCGGCGTGGATATTTGGTCTTTTCATTTCTTTCATAGTGAATTGTTTCTCGTTGATTACTTTCGTGTTTATTCGCTAACGGAAAATTAATTTAGAATTTTATCCTCGTTATAAATTTCTCTCCTGGTTCTTTTCTGAGAAAAATGCGTTTCCCCGTCTTTATTTCTGCCTTGACAATGTACCAGTGAGAGCAGAGTTAAAATCATGTTCTTATACGTTGAAAATCCAGTTTTCAATTGCATTTTCATTCTTTTTACAACCGTAAAGGCCGTTCTTATTGCAAAACCAAGGTTAAAACAGCAGCAATACGAATCAAGCAAATCGAACATCAAGCAGGCTATGTTTTTGTCCATCATAAATGGCAGTATGAGTTCAAAGGGAAAACAACTTTCGAGAATAACCTGGGATTCAGACAAGTTACACTTAAATATCAACAATGTGTTTTTTGTCCGCAAAGCCGGGGTAAAATCACACATGTGTGTGTTTCTCCTACACGAAGGTTTATTCTGGTCAAGCACTGGACCGAGTTGTGTTTCAAAACTTTCTGCGAATTCAGCATTGTACTGTAAACCACGCAGCATGCCTGTGATTCGATGTATTTAACTTTTTTTTTTCTTAAATGATCAAATTAGCTGAAGAAAAAGACACAACGGCACGTTTCAGGTCCCAAACCACTGAACCGAAAAACCGCTGTTTGACTGTAGGATATTTAGTTTTGCAAGTAAGGTGTAAGTGGCCGTGGCCTTATTCAGGGCAGTTCAGGCCTGCTCCCATACAGTCAGTATTCTGTATGGCTCCACCTTAGCAATAAGCATCAATAAGTCTATACAACAAACACACAGCTGAATACATCATGATCAATGAAGCCCACCAGCTTTCTGTGCGAAACTTCAACTTCACACAAAAGGACAGCTTCACCGCAATGCACACGTGTAAAAATCGCCGTACAGTACGTCAAGCAGTTTTTACACATTTGAAATAGTGAAGCAAACTATGCACTGCCTTCAAAAACATTCAACATGTACACATTTAGCTTCAATGTCCTGCATTCAATGCGCACGACTGTTAATTAACCTTTTTATGTTTCTCTTCTCAAGATATTAAATAGCCGATCATTCTCGGCGTCGCTATATCTGCGCGATGACATATACAGTACTTTACAGATGCACCACAGCAAGCCGAGAGCTGGAGACACAAGACACAACAGCGCTGGATCATGTGATGGGCTACATGTTGCCGAAATTAGTGTACGCAGTTTTTGTGTCTGGCAGTGAACGCTCTTCACGAGTAACATCCCTTAGCGTGAGCTTTCGCCAGTGCTAGGAAGTGTAAGATAGACAGACAGCTGTTTCATTATACCGGGAGCATGAAAATCCACACGTGACGATTTCAAAATCCACGGGTCTTACCTCCGGCTGGTAGTGTCCTCTTTCTTATCCCACTCGTGTCCGCGATTCCTCGCCCCCCGGGTCTGCTCTGCAGGAGAAAGTTGGACCTTTCTGAGATGTTGAAGGGGGGGTGCGATAAAACAAAAAAATGTTTATAGGAGCTGAATTGAGCAGGATTTGTGAAAGTGAATTTAAACTTGACTCACTCCCACCGTCACGTGGTTGAGAAACTGGGAACAGGACCGAAAAAAGTATTGAGCCAGTCTGGACTCTCTGCGAGCAGGATGTTTCCTCACGGACAGCGCTGCGGCTCCACGCTCGCTTTCTGTCCACCGATTTATTTATAACAAAAGTAAATGAAGATTTATGTTCCCTGACGAAACTGGGAAGGTTCTCTCCCAAATAAAATTCTGCCTAGGCTACTCTGGATTAAGTGGTTCTTGAGCTAACAACTAAAAATAAAATCATATTTAGATTGCTAAGAGTCTTTTGTTGTTTTAATTCGATAAACATTAACATTATAATTACACCTCAACCATAGAAAGTAGCGGGATATGTCAGCAGCCGAGTTATTGTCTTGTTTTTTAAAACTACTGAGTTAAAATGGGAAGTTTTTTCAACTGTACTCTGACGTGTTGGCTGTTTATTATAAACACTGAAATGTGTTAATATTTCAACACCTTTTTGTGTGCTTGTGAAATTAACGTGTTTGTTTTATCTGGAGTTGAGTGGTATCCACGTCAATACACGAGTTTCATCGTTTAGAGTTTCACCCATTTAGGTCTGTAGATTATTTTTTGGCAAAAAAAAACAACAAATCGATAAAACATGAGGAAACGAGAAGTGTTTATTTCTAATTCGGTAACACTGTCACTGTAAAACAATACCTGAAGCCACATCATTTCATTTTGGCGGACGCCTGTATCATATTTTTCATCCTAAAACACAAGAACACAATATTCGGCCCGTCTAGCCCGATGCTTTCATAATTACGCTATTTACACAAGGGTTCACTTCGTGTTCTTCAAGTATTAATGTATTGTGCATTGTTATAACACTTCACAAAATCCATCATTTTAAAGGTCAAGCCCTTTTCGAAAAGACGTTAACCAAAACGTACATTTCAGACTTGTACCGAGTTTTGTGAACAGAATAAAGCTCGATCCCTTTTAAGACCTTTTTGTAAGAGGTAAGAAGTCTGTGACGATTTAACGATTTATAATTCCGTGTCTGGTAGAAAGAAATTAAAGTTAAAAAAGTATACAATACAAAACACATGATCTTTCTTACACCTAGATTTGTTCTTTCCTCTTCTCGTTTCCACCTTCCCACACGACCTGTAACGAATGTTTTGAATTGGGTTTACATACTGTACCAAAAGTCTAAATACTTTCGTCATATTTCAAAACTTTAACAATCACACGGAAACCTCGACAGGCGGAAGGAGAGGGTGATTTATAGGGAGCCCGGCGACCCTCTGTGTGTAATGAACTGGGTACAGGAGGAGAGCAGGGTGGAAAGTAAACCAATTAAAAACCGCACTCAGGTAACAACCACCTCAGCCTCTCGC